TCTTCCTCTTAATGCCCTTAATTTTATGTTTTAAAAAAATCTGAATATTAGCACAACAGCGTGTAGCATAATAATTGGCCTTTTTTTAAAGCATAGCTATAATGCATGAATGCTGGACAATATTAATTGCACGTAGGACTAGAAAGGGCATCCCAGCCCATCATAGTCAGTCCCCGGGTCTGCAGCCTATCCTTGAGCTTCTTGCTAAGCACAGTTATGCAGTTCACTTCTATCCTTACAATAAGGCACCATGAGTCTTTCTAATCTGTGGTCCCATTGTTGGGAGAGCAACCTGAACATGCATTTGAGTACCTTTAAAACTTCAGTACTGTTGATCAAGGAACTTCATGGTATCACTGCTATTGTAGGAATGCACTTCATCATCTTACTGCAAAAACTTGTTTCTTTATTTTATTCTTTTGAATGCAAGAATGAGTGCTAAATCTAAAATTCACCATGCTGCAAACAAAGTAGGATGGCTCCAGGATGTGTGAAGGCTGCCCAGTAGTTGGGGATCAGCCGTACCCTTGGAAAACTTGGGTTCAGTTCCCTGCTCTGTCCTGGTCTTGGAGAGAGCTGGGGCAGGTTAGTTAAGTCTCTCCCTATCTCATGGAAATAGCAGCACTGTCCCATTTTTGAAGGGTGTTTTGAAGATCAAGCAAAGTTTGCTTTGCATGCATATACTATGATGATGCGGGGGCAGGAGGGGAGGAAGGAGCACCTGAGAGAGGATGTGATGGGCCATATTCTGTCTGGAATTACACTTCTGCAACCAGCTTCATGCATATTTCATGCAAGTTTTTACCAGAATACTAGCAATTATTTTCTGGATTTCATTGACCAAAATTGTTGCTATTTGCAAAATGAGAAATCCTAATGTTTTTTCTTCTCCGAATGATCCATAAGTGTGTGTGTGTGTGTGTGTGTGTGTGTGTGTGTGTGTGTGTATCATTTGTGATCCACTCCATAACCAGAACTAACTAATCTTTGGGCTCCAAATTCATATAGGAACTAAAATACCCGAACAGGTCCATCTTGTCCAGCATATACTCTCTGATCGCAGTAAAGCTGAAGGAGTCCAGACAAGTTGCACATGATGAAAGAAATCATATTCCTGACCCCCCAGGGGGGTGATCTTTTTTTATTGATTTCCATGGTTTGTGGACTGGTGCTTGATATTTTCATTCTGGATAATGTAACAGCGGATGATTTCCTTGCCATATGGAGAGCTAGCTAACCTTGTTGTGGTGGTGTTGCTGTTGTTATGCTACTATTATTATCATGCCGGTTGCTTACTGCAGTGCGTTTCACAAATGAAATGTTGCATAAAAATTCCTTTTATTCATTGTCGTTTTGTTGCCTTTTCTTTTCAGAATACATCCTTTTGTCCTTGGGCTGTGGGGAAAAATAATCGGCATCAAGCTCTGTCGCTCTAGTAGGCTAAGCAAGACCTTCTCTATGCCATCGATTATTGTTAATTTTGCTAGTGTATATTTTCTCTCACTTCCTTTTTCAGGTTTAAATTAGTCCCATTTTTTTGGGTCTCCTTTCAAGGAAACTCATCTACGTGGCCCTTCTAATCAGCAGCATTACCTTTTTATGGACCTCTCCTACTCTTGTTACAGATTTGAATCCGTGACTGTTATCTGAGGTAAGCTCATCCCAACACTCGATCTGCAAATTAATTGTTATACTATTTCTGTGTTCTGCTTTTCCCTCTTTATCTTGTGGTGAAATAGTTCAATAGTTTTCATGGGCCACGTTACCTGCACCTGCCGAACCTTACTGCCGAGGCTGCTCTTCACCTGTCAGTGCTGCAAAACAGCAGAAGCTGGTTGGTCTGTTTTGACCCTGTCGATGACCGTCTTGTCTCCTCGTAGACATATGAGCGGTCACAGCCAAACACCTGTGGCTTGATTGCGAGCATAGCTTTGACCTCCTGCTGATTTGGCCTGTCACTGTGCCTAATCACATCAGTCCTCCCATGGTACTGCTGAGATTTGTGCTGGGGTCTCCAACCATACGTTAGCAAATGGAATAACTTGTGTGCGGCCCGGGATCCTGCAAGGTCTGACTGTGTTGTAAACCCAGAGAGACTTATTGTAGAGCAGCCCCCACACAATGAGATCGAATTCACCGTACCCGTAGTAGGTAACGCAGTAGATGTGGAGTAAGAGGACATGTACCCCCACCGTAATATCTCGCATGTCATATCTCTTCTGAACGCGACTCTTAGGGAGGTACGTTTCCAGTGCAATGAAGGATGTAGCAGCTTGACACTCATTTAATGTCATACATTAAGTCCACACACAGTGCTGCCCATCTCCCCATCCAGGCAAAATTTAGAGTTGATGCTCTTGATTGGAGAGAGAGCTGTTTGCAGCTTGTAACTACCTACATATGGCAATCGGTGGTGGGGCATATACAGGGCAGAGAGAAGACAAACGGAGCCAGTTAGAAACGGTAAGAACCAAACTATGTAGCAGCACTTTCATCTTCTTGCCTGCCTCTCTCTTTTTGGGACAATCTTTTTCTCCTCGACAGCCAGGTAGCTGGAAATATTTTGTGTCTTGTGCATGTAAGAGAATAGTTTTAGGCTGATACCACCACCCTCAGCCTTGTTTAAGTTTCATAAAGATTATTGCAGCATGAAGATAAAATGCCAAGCTCCAAGTTTTGGCATCTGTCAAAACAGATGAAGCTGAAAGCATCTTTTTTTCTTACTTTCATTGTAATATATTTGAAGACATTCACAAGTTGAAAAATGGTTACTTCTCATTTTGTGGCATCTGGCATTTGTCTTGCGATTGGCAGTGTGTTACTAGAAAATAGCTTTACAGTTTCTCTCATCTTGTGATTGATGTCTTATAAAGACAGTCTTATATAAGAGTTGGACTTGAAATGTTATGAATGTGAATGCTTTTTCATAGGTCTTTCAAGTGGTACAATCCATGCCCGGAAATCACAGTTTTTCCCTATCATAGGAGCTGTTTCTCTCTCTAGGTGAGATAAATTAACTACGGTACATAATAAACTCAAATGAGGTGTCTCTGTATTTTCCCAATCTTTATTTGCTCTGATGGGCGCAATATAGACTTTCATACATTATAGATATTTCTTGCACATGCAGTGTCCCTGTTTTACCTGTGCTTTCAAAGGACAAAAATTGTTTGCAGAATACGCCGAACATCAGATAACCTATCACTAGTAACTAGTGTTCATATATTTATGAAATGGCAAAACTGTGCGCCATGTTATTCTCTGGAAAGAGTACCTAGAGCAAAGCTTTTCTTTGCAGGCTTCGTGAGAAAGTTATATTCCTCCTCCCTCTCCTGTTCCTTGACGCCTCCATCTGTGGACAACTCATCCAAATGTTGTTCAGTGTTCAAAGCAAAATGAACTGGACATAGTCCTTGGGTTATTGTAGCCAGCTTAAAAACCTGACCAGTGGGCCGGGGGTGTTAATTCAGGACATGAATGTTAACATGCTGACGTTGATCACCAAGTCCCGATGTGCTGTCCTACGGTACAAAAGCAATTTGACTGCTGTTTACCAGTGAAAGCTGCAGGCCTAACGAGCATAACATAGGGATAAATGAAGCCTGAGTTCATCACTGCAGCCTGGATTTAAGTAGTAAAAGCAGGACTTGGATCTGACTCGCAATCCAAGATCCCTCCTCAGCGACCAGCCCACTCTTCTGCCCCACAGGGGAGCTCTGAGCCCTGTCTGGCCCCTCCAAGTAGCTGTCCCCAGCGTGCACGTGCCCACGCTAGGCAGTGCCCAAGCCCTACCCCAGCCCAGAGCACCAGACTTGGTGAGCAGCTGCCTCCAAGTGTGTGCATCTGCATGGATGGGGCTGCCCTGGGTGCAGCCTGAGCATGGCACCCCCAGCCCCTGCTGCCCCAGGAAGGGGGCTGGGCGTGGGGCAAATCTGCCCTTCCCCTGGGGCAGAGGGACTTGTCAAGGGCTGGGGGGCTCCGGCCGCTGCCAGCCCTGGGGCTCATCTTGGTTGCATGTTGTAGCCAAAGAGCATTGGGGAACATGAGCAGGGGAGCATACCAGTGCCCTTGGGGCAGCCTGTGCCCCAGGCACCGAAGCAGCGCTGGGATCCCATGGACATTCACAGCCCAGCAACCAGGTGCACGGCGAGAGCGTGTGCTGGGACAGGGCTGAGCCACTGGGCCTCGCTGTCCTGGCTTGAGCCAGAAGGTGGGAACCAGCCACGCGGGTGCCTTGGAGAGGCTGGGAATAAAGATGTGGGAGGGAACGTATCTGAATGTGCCTTTAGATGGGTTCAAATCCTGTCATTAGCCGATGGGTTTGTGCGTGTTAATGGTTGCAGGGGTGCTTTCCTCTTTGTACAACACACACTAAAACACTGCAGAAGCGGGATTTGAACTCGCATTCGTGTCTGGCAGAGGGAGGTCTCTGACCCAAGCTATGTGCTTGTCCTTTTTTTGTGCTCTCAGGGTGCGGGTGGGCCGTCTTCCTCCACCTGAGACTTAGGCCGGTTCTGTCCATGCCGTATGTGCTGTATCTTTGAATTCCCTGGTTGCCTTAATGTGAAGAAAGCAGAATAAGAACGCCTGGGTCTGTAAAGCGGATTGCAAGCACCGGTTCAGGGAGTCTTATAGAAACACAGAACGTAACCAACCGATCGCAATGAGCCGATCACACGGGTGCTCCCACAACGCGCTCCTGCAGCTGGCTATTTGGGGGGCTTTTATGTCGAACTTAAGTCAGCGTGCGGCGCAAGTGCACCAGAGACCCCCTGTACGAGCTCTCGACTTCCCCCACGGACCTTAATGGTTTCTTGGCAGCCGTCAAGGCCCGTTGTGTAAATATCTATTTTAAAACGGGGAGTGTTTTTAAATCCAACGGACTGCACTTAACAAAAAGCTTTTATGTCTTAACTAGCAAATCTGCAGCTAATGACACTGCAGAAGGTGGAGTGGGCTTCCCTCCAGTC